TTTAAAGAGGTTATAAAAATGTAAAAAGTTTAATAGCATGTGGAGCCACTATTTTTCCTGAATTAACACCTGTGGATGCTTGGAACGATGTTGTACGTTCCTGTTTTGTCTTCAAGTTTAGTCAAATAAAGTCAAAGAAGTGTAACTTTTCCCATCTCGTCACGGTTGTGTAATTTCAATAAAGGTGCATTACTTTATTTTTGCAGTGAAAAATGAGTCCACAGTGAGTAAAAATGTGACTCCATGAAGCTCTTTGGACCTCAGAGGCTTGAATGCATAATTTCACAGACATTTACAGAAACTTCCTCTGAGCGTTTTTTTCTTTTTTTTATGCTCATGAAAGTTTGAACATTTTTTATCTGTGGCTTCTGAACACGGTGACTTTCTTTCTGTCGCGAAGCTTTTGTGCATTTATGGTTATCTGAACCTGCACAAAGGAGCCCATTGTGGCTCTTTGGAGATTGCTGAAAATCTTTTAATGCGCTGTTATTATTCTATTATAACGCCGGTGCCGCTGGCGGTTATTTCATTACGAGATAGAGCCAATTCAGGGCTGCATTTCAAATATCCACATGTTGAATTGCATGCATTATATCTCCGGAGTGTGTGAAATGGAGACGCAGATTATATTCTTCGGCTCCTTATTCGTTGTAGGTATTTGAAGTAGGAATCAGGAGCAATCGCTGCCATACGTTTCATTAATGCGAGAACCTGCTGAAAGTCTCATTTCTTACATTTGGTTTTCGTCATCAAAGTTTGGGAGATGGAGTTTAAAGAGCGTCTCCTCTGACGGGCCTGCTGATTTCCACCTGGGGATAATTCACAATCACAACACGTCCAGGACTCGCCGCGACGCCGCCTGGAATCTTAATATGTTTTACACAGCGAGGGGAAGGATTACATGGAGGAGGCTCGCAAACCGTCCCCGGTTACTTTGGGATTTGGAGGGGTCCTGATCTCCATTTGCTCGTCAGAACCTGAGGGAGCGGAAGATGGCGTGAAAACAAAAACAGTCTTTGCGGGAGGAGATCACATGGGCAGATACCCGGCTGCTGTTTTCCTCTTTTGTCTCTTATCTCTGAGAACATCCGGCGGGCGATCCCATATAATATATATAATGACTGGATGGAAAGTGAAGGGTCAGTTGAGTCTGAATCAAACCTCTCACCAAGTCTCCTCTTATCACTGCTGCTTAATATCCTTTTGTCCGCTGGTGTACATGAGCGCCGGTAACACTGCTGCAACACCTCCTCCTCCTGCATTTAGAGCACATTTAGCAAAATGCGAAGAACACGAAAGACGATGCATCACTTTCAGATGCCTCGGCGATACGACTCGTCACAAACACACCTTCAAGCCTCTGGGTTGCAGCTATGCTAATTCGTGTTCCCTGTTTTATAAAATAACATCCTTACGCCTGCCGCCACCTTAAAATAACTCGCTTAAATTACCGAGTATGGCATCCGTGAGCCTTCGGTGTTAAGCTAAATGAGCTCCACTGAGGAGAAACTAAAATTATCCTTTGGGTCCCTGTTTGGAAAAAGTAAACAAGATCAAGAACAAAATATGAAAGTTTTACCTTTAAATTGGAGAACAATGTTTTTGTGTGTGTGTTTTTTAAGGCTTATTGAACTGTGAAGTAGTTTCTGGTTATTTCTTCTCACGGTACGCTCATTGTTCACTGCAGTCTAAAGTCCTGCACCTCTATGGAAACAACACAACCGTGACTAGAAGTAGAGAGATCTCACAAATGTCTCTAGTGCAGTAGGACCCAGAAATAATGCTCAAAATACCAAAAACTGGCAAAAAAAAAAAGTTTCTTCCACATGTTATAGACAATTTTTCTCAGATGTTTCACGATGCTTACGTTAAGATTTCAACAACTTGTGCCTCTGTTCACCGTTTTTAAGTCGTGCTGCATTAATTTTATTGATCCAGTTTGTTTTGTTTTCCTTTCGGTCTCTCCGGTCGGGTCTCTGCTTTGTGCGTTGCCTTCAGTTCACCTGATGACTCTCAGAATATCTGTTGGTCACAGCAGAGTCAGTCATTTACACATAGCCGGGTATTTACAAAAATAGATCTACGTTTTCGAAATAACATTGTTCACACCCGACTCGCTTAAAAAAAATTCTTCGTTTACACAAACCTACATAAACCCGTCGATAAGAGCTGCTATGAGCAACCTATAGGGGGCAGTGTAACGAGAAACATAAAGCCATGCTAGCCAATCAGAATCCTGGAAAGAACACAACAACGAATGGCGTGAATTACTTCCTGTTACTTAAACAATAGTGGCGCAAGGGTCGTTTGTTTGGACCAATAGAGAAGTGGAGGTACTCCTAAATGTGGAGTACAAAACAAGTAAAATACTTTAAGATATAGACTCCGCCTCCTCCTGTCTACATGCAAACATAAGGACGAAAAGTTTTTCCAAATCTCCACTTCAGCCGGAGTTTTCATAAATGATCATTTTCGGTGACTCGTAGCTTCGTTTACGTGTAAACCAAAGACCCGAACGCATTGAAATATCACAGTTTTTGTAACGTGTACATGGGACCTAAGCTGCACCAAGATGTGTAGATTTTTTTATTTTATTTTTTTTTACAGCATCTGTTTAGTGCAAACAATGTAATTTTGGCAATTTAAAAAAAATAAAATTAGACATCTAGCATGAAGTGACTTTGATGAAGTATCCTGACTTCACGCCTGTTTTGGGTTAATGTTCCTGTCAGAACCAAATGTCATGTATGTAGACGGTGCAATTTTGGTGATTTAAAAGAAAAAATGAAAACATGCCTTTTCAATCTGCTGGCAGGTTTTGGTTTTAAGAGAGTGAAACTTACAAATAAATAGTTTTTACTGCCAGTCAGGTGGTTAAAAACTTTTTTCCAAATCACATTTAGAAAGATTTCTGGTCTCTTGAGCAAATAAATTCTTTTTTCTCTCTCCCTTTGTCCAACTGAAACTATAAAACTTTACATTTTAGAAAACAAATCCTCTAATCCTGATTTGGAGTGTAAACAGTGAATTTGCATAAGACGTCTGGGCGTCGTGGTCAGTTTGCTTTGGCTGCCGCGCCGAACGCAGACTCTGGCAGCAAATATTGAAACGGCATTTCAGGATGTTTATGTACAGTATATAAGCGAGATGAGACGAGTGCAGCCGCGTTGCTTAGTTTGGGATACTAATGCCGAAGTCAAGTATCAACCAATACGACTACATTAAAACAGATTAGAGGAGATTACGGCAGCTGTTTGCAGTTTAATGCGTCTAATATGGTCCGTGTACGGCGTTCGCTTCGGATCTGCGAGTGTGTAACAAACAAAATAACATCTTTTCCTCACGCTGTCAGGTGTTGGTGATATTAGGGTTAGGTGTTGTTGGGTTTTTTTTGCCCACACAGCCATCTTGCAGCGCGGATAAATAACAGGTGTGTGTTATCAAACTGCAGGTGTGAGGAATAAAACGGCAGGTGTTGGACTCACACGGTAATTCGTGTTCGAGGTTTCTGCTCCATATTGGCAGGAAACACGTGAAGACAGAGTCTCGGCTCGAGCAGAAGCACAGGGCAGGACGATCAAAAATTCAGTTTAGCTTCGATAGGATGTGCGTCGTCTTTTAATAGTTCCAACGCTCTTTTTTTTCTGCTTTAAGTGAACCTACACCCTGGTTAACTCATTATTCTCCTCTATTAATGACTCCACTGCTGCTTTTCCACTCATATAGGTAACCAGGTGGTAAAAACAGATAATTAAATAGATTTAAAAAACCACTGACATACATTGAAAATCCCTGTTTGTTGCTCTTCTGCTGATTTTCCCTTCGGACAGCAGGGGGCGTAGTCTACGGTAGTGCCATAGTGTTTAGAGGTCAAAGTGCAAAGAGTCAGGAAGTAAATAGGAAAACATCCCACCGGAAACTGCACACATTGTAACCAGCCAGAAACAGTTGAACACGTGTTACTCACTGCAACAAATATGATAATCAGAGGAAGAATCTCCACCGGTCATTAAGGAAGGCATAACATCACAACTTTACAGTATCAGGGCTTCTGGGGGAATCAGCAAACAAGGTCCAACAGTACATCATTAAGTTCATTAGAGAAGCGGAGTTAGGTAACAGAATCTAGTTTTGTTGTTTTTTTGCTGCTTAATCTCTTGTCCACACTCCAGTCCAGTTGGTGGCGGTAATGCACCTTACTTTGGTTTGCCTACCACCATTGAAATCCACAGAAGAAGAAGAGTCAGTCTTTCTAACAGATAGCCACGGAGGAGGACGGAGTGCAGATGGTTAGAGAATGAAAACGTTGCATGTGCACCGTCGGAGCTAATTGTACGTGTGCTAGGTGCCACTGGCATTTAGCAAATAGAAATAATGTTTCTTGAGCTGTTTCTATTTCTTGAAATACATTTCTTTGAGTATTGTATTTCATTTTTCTTACAGAGATTCTACAGCAAGTCTGGTAAATTTTATTCAATGTATGCGCCGCCGTAGATTTTTGTATAACATATTGGTATTGCCTAATTGAAATTTTGGAAACATAAATTGGGAAACAAGGGACCCCACAAAAATGTAATTTTGAAGTTTTGTGCATGATTTATTCCGGCTTCAAATCTGTATCACAAAAATGTGATTGTTTCATGTTTAGACTGGTTGAAAGTTCATCCTCCAATTTCAATCATCATATGTCTACATGATGACAAAAACGGACACAATAACTAAAATTTCCTTCTCATATACGAGCAAATGCTGTCAGTTGAACAAAGTTTCTGGCTTAGATTGTTCGACAGACTCCATTCAAGGTGAACTGCAGCCTGTAGTTTTTAACTGTCACAGTAATCCAGCTTTAACTCATTGCAGAAACACTACGTCGTCCGATCGCTGTGTCAAATGTTTGATTTGTACTAACAGAATAAGCTTGGAGATAAATATAGACAATAGAGAACGTGATATAAGATGGAATATGAAGCTAACTGCTACTGTGTCTTTGCTCCTCGCAGGACGGCATGGGCAACCTCAGAATAACAGAGAAGGGCCTGAAACTGGAGGGGGACTCCGAGTTCCTCCAACCCCTCTATGCCAAAGAAATCCAGTCCAAACCAGTAAGTAACTCACACGAAAACACAGTTCACAAACATCCCAATACAGTTAAAACCAGACATTTACATACACTGTTCAAGAGTCAGTTAGGATTACCAACATTATTTCTATTCGCTAAATGCCAGAATAATGAGAGAGAGATTTTTTTTTAAAATTACTTTCTTCAAAGTCAGAAGTTTACATTTCCTTAGTATCTGGTAGCGTTGCCTTTAAACTGTATTTCTTGGGTCAAACGTTTTGGGTTTCCTTCCACAACTGCACCAGTCCCTCCTGCAGCAAAACACCCCACAGCATGATGCTGCCACCCCCGTGCTTCACAGTTGGGATGGTGTTCTCAGGCTTCAAGCTTCCTCCTTTTTCCTCCAAATGTACCGATGGTCATTAAGGCCAAACAGTTCAGTTTTAGTTCCATCAGACCACAGGACATGTCTCCACTGATGAAGCTCTTTATTACTGTGTGCATTTACAAACTGTAATCTGGCCTTTTATGTTTCTTCTGGTGTAATGTCTTTGAAAGCAGCTCCCTGATACCCTTGTTGTTCTCTGAAAAAGTTTCTTGTTGCAGTAAAACTTAGCAGTTCTGAAAGATTTCAGGGACAAAAGGGCAGATTTTTAACAATGAACTCCTTGATTTGTAGCTACTTTCAATGTTAAAATCACGGATGCGCTGTAATTTTCCTAAAGAAGAGCATCCTGGATGATTATTCAGACAAAAAAAACAAAACATCAGATTAACTGAAACCTTTTGCACTAAACAGACACACATTTGATTTTTTGAAATTGCAAATGTTTAAAAAATTTACAAAATATGTGAATTTTTAATCTCAAAGTTTCTGTGTATTTTTTTTCTTTTTAATTTTGGTGGCGGTAAGGATGCACAAAACTGGATTTTTGGCCATATTTAGACTGATTTTGGTTGATTTCTGATGCCAATATATGCACATATTTTAATTCACCTAATTAAATAGAACATCAGGTCTCTCCTGTGGAGGAATTTACTTATTCTTACAGCTGCTCTTTATCGTTTCGGCTCACTGGCCAAGTCTGTCTCCTAAAAATTACCTTCCTATGCAAGTTAGCTGAATTCTTAATTATGTTTTGAAAGAAAGGTATTTTATATTTTGAAGGAAGCACATTTCATCACAAAAAATGCAAATCTGTAACGTAGACAAGAGCTGCAAAGTCAAGCAGCAGTACGTAGTTAGGTTTCAGAAAACTATCAGGGTTTGGGTTGAAGGACACAGTTTACAACACGTTTGAAGCTTCTCCTCTAATTTCTGGGTTTCAGGAGTCACAAGTTCCTCCCCATCCAAAATATGATTGATTTTCTGAAAAGGGGCGACAATAAAGCAGTCAAATAAATAGAAAAGATATGTTGATTTAAAAAAACCTCAACATGTAGTCGAGACTCTAGTTTGGTTGTTTGCGAATGGATGAATGTTGTGCACGTTCATTAACAAAACTATCATCAGGTGTTATCTGTCTGTCACTGTTTGCTTTGGGCTCCTTTTAAAGCCTTCATTAGCTGATAACAATGAAGTTCTGACGGCGCCATGCAGCTCTGCTTTGTGGGTTTCTGTGTTAGAAAGTCAACCCAGGCCACGTAACAACCCCTGAGCAGCTTTAGTCCTTTTTGTAAGAGCAGCCGTGTGTGAGCTGTACAGATCCATATTTTTATATATATATATATATGTACATATATAAAACATTTTTAAAACACCTCAGTGTAGGTGCAAATTACTTTCTAACAAAAACATCATTTTCTTGTCTTGTACTTAGTGGCTGCAGCAGAAAATAGATCGCTCGGTGGTGTAACACGGAGCGATGTTCAACGCTCGGTGTGAAGAGATACGTGTCTAATGACTGCAAGTGTGATGGTGTGAATTTGGGTCCCGAAGCTTCGCTTGGTGGGAAAAAGCCTGTGAGACGACCCTGCTGGGAGTCACGCTGGCAGCATCGAGCTACGAGTGCAACCACCTCAGCTGCATTTACAGCTATTGATTCCTTCGAGTGTCCACATTTTGCTCGAGTGCAGCCCATATTTGAGACCTGGCAAAGTCGCCTTTCTACAGATTCTTTTGTTAAAATCAAGCACTACGTGTTCTCCCGGCAGAACATCATCCATTCTGTTCCTTCTCTCTCTCTGTGGGTCAGGTTAGGATGTCAGCAGGCTGAGCCAAGTAGCCCTAATGTGCTGTTCTCTGTCCTCCTGAAGCATCCTCGGGTCGGAGAGGGTTTTCAGCGTGAACAGTGTTTTCTGTGTTGAGCCCATTTGCTAGTGATCCGTTCTCTGGAACACACAGTGACCAGCAAATCCAATTAAAGACGTTTTTTGTTTTTTTCTTACTTGTCATGTTGGAAGAAGACAAGACGTCGTGTGTTGGGTCATAAAAAGCCATTTCGTGTTGGAAAACATTTGCGTCATTTCGCATCATGTCACCGCGCTTGTCGTCATGACTAAACCCGGGCCAGATGTTCTGAGACAGCTGCCATGATATCATGTCGCTTTGTGGCGAGTTGCATAATGATGCGCTGAGGTTTGGCATAACAGCGCCGGTGCCGGTGTCGCTTCCTGTTAGAACAAGACAAGACGTGGCGTGTCATCACAAAACGAGTTATTTCGTGTAACTCGATGCCGAAGCAGATTTTAAAACACGGTGCAACGCTGTCACCACGTGTGTCTTCAAGATTCAAGACACAAGATTCGTTTATTGCCATCTCTTGTGTATTTCCATTCATAGAAAAAAACACAATGCTGTTTTTCCAGTGCAAACATAAAGACAGAACCATAAAAACTGGTAGCACACAGTCAATCACCGTCTGTTGAGGTGCTTGTGGCATTTACAATTATGGTTGCAGTTCTTCATCAGGCCCAGGTCCATGTGACCGGTGCACATAGTGTACATGACCTTTCTCGTTTGCATTGGCTTTATCAAGCTTCGTTATTATCTTTACCTGCTGTGATGCTTGAATTACCACCCTGACGGATCAGTCGAGTTTATCGGATCAGTGCAAGAAGACACACCACAGGATATGATGGGATTCTGTAAATAATGACACATTACACGTCGTGTCTGTGCATTTGAAGTTTTAACGAGTAATTTTTATGATGGAAAAAAATGTGAAATTAAGTGGTTACGTTCAGGAGGAGGGTGTTGCTGTGCTCTTCATTTTCTGTTTCACAATACATTACATGGCCATTATAATCGCACATCTTTCCCGTACATATGGACCCGTAGGAACCTTCTTCCTGACAGGTGTAGCACTGCCTGATGGTCCTGTGTACGTAACATTATCTGCCAGGTCTGCGTCTTGGAAGTTTCCACTGATCCTCAACAAAGCCTTCCCCATGCTGCAGCTCAATAAACAGTCATGTCCATCTCACTGGTGCTTGAACGAGGGATCTCAAGGTCTTGATCCGGGCAATAGAGACGGTTTTTAACTGATCCGATCGGTTCCAGCTTAGATCCTGCTCTCACACAGGCGTCATAAAAAGAAAGCACAATCGGTAGCAGGACGTTAGGGATGCAAGCTGACTATTTGTCCCACTAACACGATATGGGTTGCATAACCCACCGGCATGTAGGGATGTTGTCTTGACGTGTCTAAAACCCATGAGCTCTGGCTGGAGGTCTTTAAGCATCACAGAAGTCTTTCCCATGGTGCCCATTGCTAGCTAAACCCCCCCAGTGCTCTGTGATAGCCAACATTAACTGCCTGTAGTCTGAGTGATGCCTCCTCTGGTCCTTACAGTATCAAACAGTGAGAGGCTCCACCTGGTGGAACAACCAGGTACTACAGCTCATCTGCAACACATAATTTAACAAGCATGCTTTTCGTCTTCCACCTAATACACACCTAAACCTGTCAGAGACAATGGTATCAGGATTTGGCAAATACTAAACATGAATAACCATTGGATTGGAGACAAAAAAAACTCTAGCGTAAACTTAAATAAACATCGACTCAAAACGAGACTCAGATTAAGTAATCGTAGCATTATAGTGTTCCTAGATGGGCCTTTAGCTCATGTCTTCCTGACACGTGTCCAATCTCCTGCATCTTTGTTCTTTGAAAGTGCAAAATGGAGGTCATAAGGTCATAACTGACCTACTGAGCCTCTTACAAGGCGGTGGAGGGCCCTACTGGCCTGCACATTTTTGAGATCCCATCAGTGCAAATATTTGAGACCAGGTTGTCTTGATTGGGGAAATAAACCAAAACATAAATAGCCCTGCAGTGTGGGGCAAACATCTCTACAACCTCAACATCAGGAAGTCTCTGTTGTTTACCGATTCCGAATGCAAAGTCCATCAGAGGTCCCTCGGTGTGTTCGCCTCGTGCATTAGCATTCTGAGGAGCTCCCCGCTGCCCTTACAGCAAATACAGGAGGACCATTCAAGCCCACCGATGTCAGACAAATGGAGAGATGGGCTCGATAAAGTGATAGGCGCTCTCCACCTCTGTCTCTTCCATTCCGGCAGCAATAATCACTGTGTGCAGGTAGTGGACGGATGGCTTGATAATGCAAGAGAGCAGCGCGCTTTATCTCCGGTGTCTAGGACCGGAGCTGAGAGGGAGGATGAGCGATGGAGACGGGAGGGGAACGATGGAGTTGGCAAAGGAGAGCAGAGGCGAGGAAGAAGGAGAAGGAGAGGAAGCGGTACTAGAGACAGATGGAGGAGGACTGAATTAGAACGAGAGGGATTGGGAGCCAGCGAGCATGTTTTGACAGGCGGCGGCGGCGCGCAGGAGGCGGCCAAGTTCAACATCGACTCAAACAAGCACAACATGTTCGCGGCGTAATTTCATGGCACAGAAAAATATTCATATTAAAACCAAGCCCCTGCGCTTCTCCGGGAGGCGGCAATGGATAACACCGATAATACCTCCGGCGCATTAACTGGTTTCTGTGGGTGGTGGCAGCCAGCGCACGAGCATATCTATCAACATGGTATAAACACAGACCGATAGCCAGCGCATAGTACATTAAAGAAGCCTC